CCCTGGGTTGGCCCCCTGAAAAGTTAGCCGTCCTACTACTCATGTAGGTGCCCTTCATACACCCTAACAGACAAACACTCAGTTCTCAATTGGGACTGTTATTGGACAGGTATTTCTACTGTTTGCTGTTCTGTTGAAGCAGTTTCATTTAAAAGGTATCCAAGGGAAATATGTAGTAACATATTTCATGTGTCTGAATGAGACCACTGAAGATAAGCTCAATTAAGTTAGCCCTTAAATATATAAATAATTTTCAAGAACATAAAGCATTAAGTTTGGTTCATCTTAAAAATTTAATTTCAGAAATTTTATGGTATAATTTCTTTTTTAGTGAAAATATCTGGACAAGCCCCTCCCTGCCTTCTAAAAGGACATTTGAGGTAGGAGAAGTACTACCCAACTCCTTTCCCTCTGTTTTGTAAGATTTTGATTTTGAATGAAAGCAACAGGTGAAAGTCACATTTTGATAACAATTTCTCATTGGCTGTCTCCTCACATTCTACACAGTCCTGTGACTAGGTCAGTTGCACGTACAGGAGTGCCCGTGTGATGTGTTTTGAAGGGTTCTGAGATTTCAATACTCCCACACTGTCCCCAATGGATGCCTTAAAATCTACATCAGACATTTGGTTCTCTGCATTTCTCATTACATTACCTGAGTTCGTCTTTTTATAAAGGAATGTTTCTAGCATAAGAAACCTATTTAGCATTTTAGAATGAATGCCTATCACGTATTCCACTATCTGCGATAGTAATTGGAGCACTGGTCATGTAGGTATATAATACTATGACCTAAACACTGAAAAAGGAATGATGGGAAGAGAAGTCAGGGATAACGGAGATAAACTTTGCCGTCGTGTCTAAACCAGTAGTTACTACATCACTAGCTCCCTTGGCAAGTTTCCCTGGTGCTAGGGATAATATGAATGACCGTCTGACCCGTGGAACAGGCACGTATTTGAGAATAGACTGAAATTGCACAGCCGAGGCGATAGGGTGTGCCCTCCCTTCCCTGGCATATCGCTAAGAACTTGGAATGCTGTTCAGTAAAGATGGGTTCTGTTGAAGTACGCAAACTCGCCTACCCCCAAGACTTAAGTAGGAAACCATCTTGGGCATACCTTATTTGGGTCTAGGATTGACTGATTGAAACTAAGATTTAATTATTTTATTTTATTTTATTTTATTTTAATCATTGTTCAAAGTACAGTTTTCTCCCTTTTACTCCCATTCCAGCCCACTCACCCAGATTTAATTTTTAAAAATATTTTATTTATCATATCTAGGGAAAGAAATCAAATGCTATAGCAAGATAAAAGAAAGTAATAGAAGAAGTACTGAAGTAAGGAGATATGAATTCTAGACCTTCCTCTCCCTCATATTTTTTTAAAGATTTTATTTATTTATTTTTAGAGAGGGAAGGGTGGGAGAAAGAGAGAGAGAGAGAAACATCAGTGTGCGGTTGCTGGGGGCCATGGCCTGCAACCCAAGCATGTTCCCTGACTGGGAATCGAACCTGCGATGCTTTGGTTTGCAGCTCGCGCTCACTCCACTGAGCTACGCCAGCCAGGGCCCCTCTCCCTCATATTAACTACGTGATCTTGAAAATGCATAGCTTAATCTCTCTTATTCCCTAACATTTGCTTACATTCCCTCTCTGATGTAACATTGGGGATGACATTGGCCACCCTGCCTCTATCACAGCACTGGTGAGAGCCCCCAGTAAGATACTGTCTGTAAGAATACTCTGCATACTGTAAGTTGTAATATACAAATATAATGTGGTACTACATTCCTCTTGATTAGAGAGTTCACTGTTGACATTGAAATCAGAGCACCCAATTTTTTTCAGGTCGCAAAGCACGATTCAGAGGCTTAGCAAAGACCAACTCGGACATCTTTTAGAAGCCCGCAAGAGACCAATCCAGGAGACAATTCAGCCCAAGAACACGGATTTGTGTGGAAACTGCTTCCAAGTGATATCCTTAAAGCCTCCCACGAGCAAGGAAATTTCCAGCTGGACCGAGAAAACAAGTATACCAATGGAAGGTGGGTTTTTTAGGATTTTAATAAATTCAAAGGTGGCTTTCACTGTATCATCATTAATAAATCTTATGAAATCAGGATTTTGGGGAATGGCTTTTGTAAACAGGGATGGTTAATAGCCATTTTATTCCCAACTTTGAAGAAATACTTGCCTTATTCAATCTCTGTATGAGTTGAATATAGAAAAAATTATTTCAGTTTACTATAGCCTTGAAAAAATCTATTTAATTGCCTTATTCCCAATATCTCCTTGTTGATGATGCCTTCTAGTACCATGCAATCAAAAATCAGTGAACCGCTGCTACAGCGTGAATGCATCTCAGCAGCGTGAATGCATCTCAGCAGCATTGTGCTAAGTCATAGAAGCCAGACACAGACAAGTACACGTTACACGAAATCTCGCTTTTATGAAATGCAAGCTAATCTCAGAGACAAAAACAGATGAGGTTTCCCGGAGTAGGAGGGGTTGAAGTAGGGGATGACGGTGAAAGGACTGGGAAGGAGCTCAGAGAGTCTTTTTAGAAATGATCATTCCTAGATGGTGACTGTGGTGATTGTTTCACAGGCGTCTGCACTGCTAAAGCCAGGGTTTGGGGCCAGAGCAACTGGCTGGCTTGAGCCGACCGTCTGCTGAGATGGCAGAGACGGAGGGGAGAGCGGCTGACAGGCTGAAGAGAAGTGAGACTGAAGACGGGGAGACCAGTGAGAAAGCCAGTGCAGAAATGCGAGGGAGGCAGAAAGGGAGTCTGAACAAAAGGAGCTGCAGGATAATGAAGAGAAGCAGACCCAAGAGAATCTTTGGAAGTAGAATGAATAGAGCTTCCCATTACCGGATACCAAAAACGGAGGCACAGGAGATCAGGCCGTCTTGGGTCGTTACTTAGGTAGCTAGGCGAGAGCAGTATTCCTGACTGAGGCGTGGAATGCAGGAGGAGAGGGGCTGCGGTGGGCAAGTTGAATTAGGAGTGTCTGTGGGGAAATGCAAATGGAGATACCCAGAGGGCAGATGAGTAGGGACTCAGAGCCACGCTTAGATGGAAGAGTAACAAGTATTAGGGTCATCCGTGGTTTGTGGCAGCTACAGGTGCAGCTGTGAGTGCTCAGAATAAAGCATGTGGTGAGAAGAGGCGAGCCCACGGGATGGAATCCCGGGGAACAGCCCACTTAAAAGTCAGGCAGAGGAAGAGAAGCCCATGTAGGACACCGAACAAATGACCAGAGGAACAGGAGTAAAATGGGGCGAGAGCGGTGCCCCAGACACTTGAATTGCTCAGTGAATCAAGGGGGGAGACTTTCAAGGCTCTGGGAATAAGCAAAAGCAGAGAAAGCAAGTACAACAGGTCAATGGCTTGGGAAATGACAATTTCACTGGTACGGGGAGAGTAGAAGCCAGATTGTAGCAGGCGAGAAGTATCCAGGGAAGGAAGGCGATGATGGTTGTGAATATTGACTATATTTTGACAAATGTTAGAAAGAGGGTAGTAATTAGAATTATTGTATTTTGCTGTGTATAATGCACATTTTTTGAGGGGAAAATAAGGATGAGCGTTATACATGGGCAGTACTAATTCTGTACCTATATAAATGCTTTTAATTATTTTATTTAGGCTTATGGATTAAAAGTATAACCCTAGAAAGCAGTAATGATATTCACATGCAAAATAATAACCTGGAATATGATCAGCAGTTTTGTTTCTAAATATAAATAAATAAATAATTGAATTTAAAAGTTAAAACAAAAGATTTTTTTCTGAAAGTTTGGGCCAAAAACATGGGTGTGCATTGTACCCCGGAGTGCATTATCCACAGCAAAATACAGTATGTCCTGAAGACATTGATGGCCATTAGGGCTGGATGGCCAGTGATGGTTGAGTGAATGCACTTTTGGACTTTGTTTTAAAAAACTTCAAGAGCTAGAATAGTGTAAGCAACTCCCTCTTAAACCCATCACTTAGCTTCAATAATGTGATTTATTTTTGCTGGTGTGGCTGATCGGTATTTGGAATCCATCAGTTGCACTTGCAGAAACGGTTTTAGGTAGCTAACGGAAACATCCCATGTGGGTGATGCAAGATCCAAAGACAGAGCAGGGGCGCCTGGAATGTGAGGCCTGGCTGACGGAAGGCACCCTGCAAAGGGCGGGGTTTGTTTTTACCAAATTCAAAGAAGCAATGATTTGGATACAAAGCTGTCTGGCCACAGCCACCACCCTGGTCCAAGCTATCACCCTCTCTCCTGGACCATCTCACTGACCTTCCAAGAGAAAGGGGTATCATTTCAGTAACCTTCCTGCTTGTCCAGACTTGCCCTATTTAGTCTATTCTTAACTCGGCAACCAGCATGATCTGTTGCAACAGATCTGGGAGGTGATGCTCCCCTGCTCACAGCCCTGCGCTCACCCCCGTTCCACATTCAGTGCCGGTCAGAGTCCTCACAGTGGCCGCTGAGCCCTTGTGGAAACTGAGCCTCACTGCACCTGTTTGAGCTCTAGTCTCCTTCCCTTTAGTTCATGCTCCTTTAGCCACTGCGCCATCGTGGTCTTCCTTGAACACACACTCCCACGCTCCCGGCTCAGGGCCTCCGCACTCACTGTTCCCCTTGACCGGTGAGAACGCTCTCTCCTCGGGAAGCTGCCCGCCTCCCTCCCCAACTCCCCCTGACACATCAGCTGCACAGGGCCTTCTCTGAACACCCTTTTGAAAACAGAAGTCAGCATTTGCCCAGGAATTCTCTATCCCCTTCCCCAGCTTTATTTTATCCCATAAACTGTATCATTCTCTAACATATATTTTATTTGTTTATTTGCTTCTTTTCTGCCCCTGTAATTAAAGAATAAGCTTCAGATGGGTAAGGATTTTTATTTAGACAGGATCCTTGGCAGGTAAGGCTCCATGACTAATTGTTGGAGCAGTTCAGTCTCTACATCTGTACGTATTTTTGCGGTTGCTCCCCAGATCTGCATCACAACATAAAAGGCAAAATGAAAAAATCTACAACTTTCCAAAGCAAGAAGACTGGCATAAATTGGACAGATGACGAAAAAAGAATATACAGGAATAAAAGGCTGACTCAAACCGAAGAGATACTGCAGTATTTGATCCCTCTCGTAAAAAGCACTAAAAACGTGCAAACCACTCAGATAAAACAGATACTCAGTCCAAGAACCTGCTTCCAGAACCAGCATCAGTAAGTCAATGCAATGTTGTCGTTCTTAACTACTTAAGGCATTCTTTTTAAAGGAAGCAAGGCTAAGTAATTCATTAGCCTAAGAAACCAGCATAGACTCTTAAAAATGGTGGCAGCTACATCACGTTGGACAAAGGGACACAGGCCCAAAGCCGTGAGAAAATACTGGGTGTGTGAAGGAGTGAGTTATCGGGTCTTATTTGAATGTTTACCTGCGTGAAACCACTCATTAATTTGAGTCTATGAACAAAGTACACCGGCACTAATAAATTATGACCATAGCCTGACTTGAAATTTCTCAGGTGTGCTTAAACTTTATGATCCTAAGAGGCAACCACAATTAGAAACTGTTAATTTGAGTTACTTCAGCTTATCGATACTCAGAGGAAGGCAGAAAGGATGAGACCAGATTTCTTTTAAAGATAAAAAAGAAAATAGAACCAACACTAAACCAAAGGAAATCTATATACCATGTTTTTAGGACTAAAAGATGCACCGGATCATAAGACACACCTAGGTTTTAGAGGAAGAAAACAGGAAAAAAATTTTGAATCAAAAAATGTGGTAAAATGTTTAATAACCTGTGGCCCTGCTGCACTGCTGCCAGCCCCCCATAGTGAGCCAGGTAAGCTACATTCAGACTGTAAAACACACCCCCATTTTCCTCCCAAATTTGGGGGGGAGTGTGTCTTACAGTCCAAAAAATACGGTAAATAAAAGTAACACAATGACAAGCAGAAAATAATAAATACAACACTAGTATTATCAACAAATTTTGAAAAACTGCTTTCTACGTACTAGACCCAGCCCTATGTTTACATAGGTACGCACATTTTCCATTCTATCCATGAGGAAACTGCGTTTCAAAGGAGTTTGGTAATTGTCCGAGGTCACGCCGCCAGTAGGTAGCAGAATTGGATTCAACCCCTGCTAGACATTCTGACTCCAGAGTCTCTCATTGCTACGCTTTCACATTTCTCTTTTTAATATGAATGAAAAACGGGACCAATATACTTACTGTATTTTACCGTGTATGATGCACACTGTTTTGCCCAAATTTTTGAGGGAAAAATAAGGATGCATACTGTACATGGACAGTACCTGAAATACCTTGTATCTATCTGTTCCTGTGTTTTGTGGTTATTTGTCACATAAAATTTCTTGTACCATATGTTCAAAAATAAATGCTAAAATTCCTTTATAATACAAAAAAACAAGTATCTAAATGTAAATAAATAAATAACAGAATTTAAAAATTAAAATGAAAAGATTTTTTTCCTGAAAGTTTGGGCCAAAAATGTGGGGGCACATTATACATGGGAGTGTATTTTACATGGCAAAATACATGGTAATATTAAAAGATAACTTATAAATCAATTCCAAAATCATGAATATTTCAATAGGAAAATGGGCAAAGGCTATAAACCAGAAATTCACAAAGAGTTAAAAAAAAAACCATGGGCAATGAACATTTTAAAATGTTCAATCTCATTTAAATCCAAAGAGTGCAAATCAAAATAATGAAATGCTATTCATTTTTGCTTCTCAATGAAAGAATTCATTCACTAATTATTGGAATGTAAACTGGTACAGAGTTTCTGGAAGACGGCTCAACAATATAAATGAAAAATTCTTAATATCTTCATTCATTCTGATAAGAAATTCTACCTTTAGAAATTGATCTTAAGGGAAAAAACCTAGGTAAGGGCTACACAGTTTCTGTAGCGATGTTCATTTCAGTATTGTTTACAAAAACAAAGGAAAAAAGAACCAATTTGAAAAAGCAGGATAAAGTAGAATCGGTCTATCTGATCTGAACACCTTTTTATAACTGCTGTAATCAAGAGTATAGTATCGGAGGGGAATAGACATCTTTATCAATGGAACCAAACAGAGAACCCAGAAATAGACCCATACAAATCTGCTTGACTAATTTTGACAAAAGTAATACGATGTAGGAGAGAGAATTTTCAACCAATGTTGCTGGAGTAATTAGACACCCAAAGTCCAAAAAAATAAAACTTAACTTAAACTAATTTCTCATACAAATAATAATAATTCAAAATGGATCATGGACTTAACCACACAATAGAAATCTATAAAACTTTTAGAAAACTTGGAACTCTTCATAATCTAGAGTTGGGCAAAAAGTTATACTTTACAACAAAAGCATAATCCATAAAGAAATATTGATAAATTAGACTACATCAAAATACCAGTGTTTGCCCTTCAGAAGGCCTGGTTAAGAGGATAAAAAGACAAGCTATAAAGTAGGAGAAAATATCCGTAAACCACATAAACAAGAGACTAGTATGTAGATTAAAAAGGTCTCAACATGCAACAGTAAGAAAACAAACATTTCATTTAGAAAATGAGCAAAAGATATAAATACATTTCATCAAACACAACATAAGATGGCACATAACCACACACAAAAAATACACTCCCCATCGTTGGCCATTAGGGAAATGCAGATTAAAACCACAATGAGATAGCTACACGCTATCAGAAGAGCTAAAATAAAAAGTGGTGATAGCACTGAACGCTGATGAGGATGCAAAGAAACTGGGCCTCTTGTGCATTGCGGGTGGGAACGTCGAATGGTGCAGTCACTCTGCACAACACCTTCGCAGCTTCCTTTAAAACCGCATATATGACTGCCCTATGACCCAGAAATTGCGCTCCTGGGCGTTAATCCCAGAAAAATGAAAAACTTACATTCACACAAAAACCTGTACACAAATGTTCACAGCAGGTTTATTTGTAATAGCCATGATTCAGAGAGAAACCACGTGTCCTTCAATGGACGAGCCATTAAACACACTGTAGTGCACCGGGTCACGGGCTATTTACTGCTCAGGAATAATCAGGAATGGACTGCTGATACACAGGCCAGCCTGGATCCGTGCCCAGAGAGCTATGCCAGGGGAGAAGGCCAACCCCAAACATTACCTTCAGTATGATTCTGTGCATATAACATTCTTGAGATAACAAAACTACGTAATTCGGACAACAGATTAATGATTGCCAGGAGTTTAGGAGGGGATGGGCAAGGAGGAAGGTAGGTATGTCTATAAAAGGAAAATACGAGGGAACCGTCTGCACCTTGACGACCAGTAGCGATGTCCTGATTATATTACTGTACTATCGCTCTGCAAGGTATTCCACTGGGGGAACCGGGGCAAAGGCTACCTGAGACCTCTCTGTGTTATTTCTCCCAGCTGTAGATGAGACTACAATTATTTCAAAATTGCAATTTTAATTGAAAATATAGTTGAGATTTTTGGGGAAGAAAAAAATGAACTCAAAAGAAAAGTGAGACACTTTAGGTGGCTGCAATTTGTAATTTACAAAACCTCCTTCTCTGGAGGAAAACTTCCATTTCTTGGACTTAGATTAGTTTTTTTACCGGCTGCAGAAAAAAAAAAATCTCAGAGTATGTACAATGAGTCCATTCTAAGAGAATAAGGTGGGTTTGTGAAATTTTAGAGAACAGTCACCTCCACTTCCACTCATTCCATGTGAGGAGCTGAGGTGCGGAGTGACTGTCCCATCAGGGAGCCTGGGGTCAGGGCAGGCCTCCAAATAAACGTATCCTCCAGGCATTTAGAAACGCGGAGCTGGAGCTATCCTGAAAAATCATCACCAGGGATAAGGACTTAGAACGTTCTCATAGAAATGGCGGTAAAACGTCTTAAGGGAGGATGACCTCCCCGAAGGAGAAAGAAAATAGACTGATGCTATCACAAATACCTAGGGTACAGATATTGGGCAAAAACTCATACGTTTTCTTTCTTCCCTAGAAACCGAGCTACTTGTGCGAACGAAAAGAGATACGGCGCCACTTGGGTGCCGCCCAGACACTCTTTTATGAGCCAAAGGAACCTCATGGTGAGCTCTTCAGAATGGCTCCAGCCTGTGTCCCAGAGGTCATTTTCAAGTCTGTCAACTTTCAAAGGACAGGACGAAACATGTTCTCACGTCAAGGCCATAAGGACTAAAGGCATGACACCCGTCCACAGCAAATGGGAGACCCCTTCCTCGAGTTTTGAAAAAGATGCGACGATTATCAGAGGCAGGAGTCTTCAAGCTAAAGAATCCAACCAGCGAAGCCCTGTGCAGTAGCTCCCCGCTCCCACCGAGAACAAGGGTGAGCAGCCAGATAAGAATGATGGACAGCCCACCTTCCATCTGGAGTTCCAAAGGCAGAAAGAATGTAGCTTCACGCTGCTCTGAACACTTCGCATGAAAGGTCACACGTGCTTGCCTATTAAAAAGAAAAGAAAGAGAGAGAAAAGCCCTCTGTCTACCTCTGGCGCTGTTTCCCCCGACGCGTGCGCGAGCACAGCCAGACTCCGGAATCCAGACACCCGTCTTCTTTGGCGGGGCACCTTTCAGGGACGGACTCAGAGATCTGGGGAGAACACAGAGGATTTAAAATCTTCTCAAGTGTTTATATTTAATTTTTCTCAGGATGGGAAAAAATTCTCATTTCACCCAAAATGATCTATGTATCCAACACCAAAAAACCAGGAGCTCAGGAGGGAATGAATGGCCTGTCTTATCTGTCACTGACTTGAATGTCCCCACTAGGCACTTGAGTGAATCAGTCAACAAACACTTCCTGCATTTCTGTTACATCTGTAGTGTGATAGGAAACACTGGGGATGAAAAAAAAAGAAAGACATTTCTCCCCACTAGAAGATTGCTGTATAATTGTACACACAAAACATACATGAGTAAAATAATTACAGAATAAGATAATGCACAGTACAGTGCTAACATTTGAACAATTTGAAAAATACTATATATTGAAAGATGCTGATTACACAGAGCAAAACTTTGGCACAAGATGGCCCTGAACTGTGTAGGTTTGTAGGTGACGGTTTGCAATAGTTATTTCACTCCTCACATTTTAGCAGAAATGTGAAAGGTGAGATGGGCGGTGTCCTTTGAGCCACTGAATGTGCAGCTTCAGCTTCGTGCAGGTGAAACCCCCTGTGGTTTGTCATTCAGGAGACAAACTGCGGACAAACAGGCGTGCCAGACGGTGGGGGTCAGGGGGCGGGGGGGGGGGGGAGGGTGGGTGAGAACCGACCCAGCCTGCAGCCGCTGTCAGCGACGGCGCCCATCACGGGTGAGGGTAAGAAGCCAGAGGATCGGGTAGGAGAGGGACCTTGCAGGCACAGGCCACAAGCCTAATTAGGTCGCTGTAGCCAGATGGGACTCGAGAGGCTGAGGGTGGGCAGCCTCCTCTCCACGATATTTTCAGTAGCCAAAGAGGATTCACGGAGAGCTCCTTGGGATATTAAAGAGTAAGTATGATGTTTTTGTTTTGGTTTTTAATAGGCTGTAGTTTACAGAGAAGTTTTAGGTTCATAGCAATACTGAACAGGAAGCACGGAGATTCCCCGTGTGCTCCCTGGCCTCCGGAACCACAGCCCACCAGAACGCTTCATCTGTCACAACTGACAAACCTCCGTTGGTACCGGGCATCGTCATCCCCCGAAGTCCCTATTTCCATCAGGCTCCACCCTCGGTGCTGCACGTTCCATGGGCTTGGACACACGTAGAGGAAATGTTCCCATCAGTACAGTGTCATGCAGAGTGGTCCACTGCCCTAGAACTTCCCTGTGCTCTGCCTTCTAACCCGGGACCACCGCTGATCTTTTCGCTATCTCCACAATTTGCCTTCTCCAGAATATCACACAGTTAGAATCATATAGTGTGTAGCCTTTTCAGGCTGGCTTCTTTCACTCCGTGATATGCATATAAATTCTATCGTTTTTTCATGGCTTGATAGCTCATTTTTAGTGGTAAATAGTATTCCATTGTCAATCAAATATATAATCTACCACTGTTAAGAAAAAGAAGAAGAAACAAACGACCAATCAGAAATGAAAGCAGGGCCACCAATACTGATCACATAGACATTGAAAGCATAATAAGGTAATGCTATGAGCAGCTCTCTGCTCACAAATTTGATAACCTAGATGAAATGGATCGATTCCCTGAAAGACAAAATCTGCCAAAATTCACACAGGAATAGACCATCTTAATAGGCCTATGTCAATGAAAGAAATTGAATCAATCAATAATAACCTGCTGAAGAGAAACACCAGGCCCAAATGGGTGCGCTGATGAATTCTACCAAAAATTTATGAAAGAAATTTCTCTACAATCTCTTCCAGAAGATAGAAACAGAAGGAATACTTCCTAACATACTCTTATGAGGCCAAGATTGCCTTAATATTAAAACCAGACAAAGATACTACAAAAAAGGAACATCACAGACCAATATCTCTCATAATCATAGATGCAAAAATTCTCAACAAAATATCAGAAAATGGAGTCCAATAACATCTAAAAGTAGTTATACCCCACGGTCAAGTAGCCTTTGTTCTAGGTATGCAAGGCTGGTTCAATATCCAAATATCCATCCACCACACCAACAGATAGGAAAACCACGTTCTATGATCACATCAATAGATGCAGAAAAAGCACTTGACAAAGTTCCACACACGCATTCATGATTAAAAACTCCCAGCAAATCTGGAATGGAGGGAAACTTCCTCAACTTGCTCAAGAATGTCTACCAAAAAATCTACAACTAACATTATAATGATGGGCAACTAGGGGCTTTCCTGCTAAGATCAGAAGCAAGCATAGATGTCTGTGCTCCCATTCCTACTCAGCACCATAGTGGGGGTCCTCGGTAATTCAGTAAGACAAGGAAGTAACAGGTGTACACAAGTAAAACTATGTTTGTGCACAGGGAACAAGATAGTCTACGTAGAAAGTCCCAGATAACCAAAAACAAACAAAAAATACAAACAAACAAAAGCAAACAAAACCCTACTGGAAGTAATAAGCAATTATAGCAAGGTTGCAAGACACAAAATTAATATACAAAAGTGAATCACTGTCTTAGATACCTGCCATGAATACAGGAATTTGAAATTAAAAACAATACCATTTACCTTAGCACCCCCCCAAAAACAAAATACCTAGCTATAAACCTAACATGTTCAAGATCTATTTGAGGAATACCACAAAACTCTAATAACAGAAATAAAAAATCTAAAGTAGAAAGAGATTCATGTACATCCATTGGAAGATTCAATGTTGTCAAGAGATCAGTTCTTCCCAATTTGATCTACAGATGCAGTGAAATCCCACTCAAAATCCTAGCCAGTTATTGACAAACGTGATTCTAAACTTATATAGAAAGGCAAAAGTTTCAGAATATCCAACACAATCTGAACTAGAAGACTTAGAAGACTCACTATAAAGCTATAGTAAACAAAACAATATGATATTGGCAACCTGGACTTCTCCGTCCAGCAAAAGAGAAAAACAGCCCTGGCCAGTGTGACTCAGCTGGAGTGTCGTCCTGCCACCCAAGGGCTGTGGTTTTGCTTCCCAGTCAGGGCGCACGCCTAGGTTGTGGGTTTGATCTCTGGTCCAGGAGGCAACCCATCGATGCTTCTCTCTCGCATCTGTGTTTCTCTCCCTTCCTCTCTCTCTAGAAGGAATGAAAAAAAATGTCTTCAGGTGAGTAAAAAAATTTTATTTTTAAAAAAAGAAAAAGAAGAATCGAGGCTACTGTGAAAGGAGGGCTGAGTGTCTGCTGTGACCCGTCCGTCCTCTGCGCAGGCCTGACCGGATCGGCCTCCCCTGTGGCTCCCAGCACAGGCGGCAGCGGGAGGCCCGGCGGGGCCCGGATTCTGCAGCAGCACTGATGCTTCTGAGCGAGGCAGGGGGCAGTCGCAAGATGAAACAAAGGGCAGACGCTGACTCTGGGGCTTTGACCCTGGCGCCATTGAATTGTTCTCTTAGTTTTTAAGATAGGAATGATCTGCCCACCACCACCAAAAAAAATTATACATTTACCCCGGAAGGGTGAGCTCCCTTTCTGCATATAAAAGGGATTTGCTCTTTATGTCATTTTTCCTTGAAAACAAAACTCTTCTTTATCACGGCTGGATACTTTCAGAAATATGTTATCAACTGTTCATTCGTGATTTCACTCTGAAATAAGTTATAAGCAAGCAATGGTCACTTTGTTCAGAGCTCGACCATCCTTACCCCTCATCACCGAGTCTGGTAAGAGCCTCTGGTCTCCACAGTCGTAGGCAGACCACAGACCCAAACAAGCCGTGGTGCCCCCCGGATTCCCAGGCCAGCCTCAGCTGACTATTTCATCTTTTCTCCTAAGGGCCCCAGGAGAGAACTGTTCATGGCAAGTTCCGGGTGATAGACCACCGAGGCTGTGGGCCTGGGCCTAGGCCTCCTAGAGCAATCTTAGGAAAGTGAGGGTTTTGTGTGTGTGTGTGTGTGTGTGTGTGTGTGTGTGTGTGTGTTTAAAGATTTTATTTATCTATTTTTAGAAAGGGAAGAGAGGGAGAAAGAGAGAGAGAGAAACATCAATGTGCAGTTGCTGGGGGTCATGGCCTGCAACCCAAGCATGTACCCTGACTGGGAATTGAACCTGCAACACTTTGGTTTGCAGCCCACACTCAATCCACTGAGCTACACCAGCCAGGGCAGAAAAGTGAGGTTTTGTTTAAAGGAAAAGCAGATCGCGGCCCTGGCTGGCGTAGCTCAGTGGATTGAGCGCGGGCTGGGAACCAAAGTGTCCCAGGTTCGATTCCTAGTCAGGGTACATACCTGAGTTGCAGGCCATAACCCCCAGCAACCGCACATTGATGTTTCTCTCTCTCTCTCTATCTCCCTCCCTTCCCTCTCTAAAAATAAATAAAAATAAAATCTAAAAAGAAAAAAGAAAAAGAAAAGCAGATCGCAAATCCACCTGGCGGAATAATATTGTCCACTCGCGGAGATAAGTGCCGTTCTGAAGGTGACTGTGTGCTGAGGACGGCAGGGCCACTTCCCGGCCACAGGAGCCTGGGTGGCTGAGTCACACCGTCTGAGAACACTTGCAATGACCTATGAACTGTGACAAGGCTCAGGACATTTTGCTCAGTGAGATCATTAACACCTTTGGTCACGCCCTCCATTTCTTTGACTCCTCTCCTTTGCACTAACCTGAAAAGTGAGCCCACAGGGAAGGGAGTTCCCTGCGACCTTTGTGATCAGGGTCGGACTTCAATGCTACAGAAGGAAACTTCAGGCCAGAAGAAGGGCCTCACCCAGGAACGTGGGCATGGGAGTCCTCCAGTGTGTCACGTCTCACCCTTGCTGCCCTCACATGCTCTCCTGCAGAGGGTGTTTGC